GCTCAGGGTATAGATCGGGACTTTACATTTTAATTCGTAGCCATATATATTATATTTTTTATTTCCTAGGGAAGCCTTAAAAAATATATTAAATATACCCCATACAATTCCCATATTATATTTTTTGTTTCCATTCCCCCAAATTCCTATATTTTTAAAGGAATATAAAAATCATCCTCAATATTATTATTTCCTTCCTTATCCTCAATATTATCGTCCGTAACATCTTCATCATCATCCTCCACCTCATCTTCAGCAACATCATCCTCAGCCACCTCATCGTTCGCAACATTATCATCATCTATCAAGATCATGATCTTCCTTCTCAACATCATCATCCTGTGATCCTGCACCTTGTCCTCCTCCACTTCATCTTCCGCTTTATCATCCTAATCCTCATCCTCATCCTCATCCTTCTCAACATCACGATCCTCCACATCATCCTCCTACACCTCATCATCCTCAACATCATCATCCTCAAAATCATCGTCCGCAACATCATCATCACTATCATCCTCATCTTCATCATCAGCAGCAGCATTATAATACATGATCCTCCCACTCCCCCCCAAACACTGTTTCGTGTGTCTTTCCGGAATATTTTTTCAAATATACAATAAAATAATTCAATAAAGATACTTATGTTAAATTGTTATATTTAATCAAATCCCCCAATTGTTTAATTAAAATTAATCATATATATATATATATACATGGATAATATTATCATAAGAATTTAGGTCCATATGTATATATATATATTTTTATTTATTTCTTTCTTTATTTTTATGACTATAGGATTAAAATCTAAATTCGTATCAGGATATTATAATAATAGGATTTTTTAATTTATATAAATATAATTTAAATTATTAGAATTGCCCGCTCCTAAATTGGAAAATAAAAGATTAGAATCTAGAAAAAACATAAAAATAACAAAACTACAAAATAAGATATATAAAAATGGACCAAACATTGATGGCAAGACTTTTTCTAGGCGGCCAAAACCTAAGGAAATTGTGCAGTATAATTTCAACATATCTGAAGCACATGCTATCAATTAGTTGTTACTAAATAATAAGAACCATACATGATGACATGAATATATTATATGAATTTATATTATATGTTCATCCTTTTAATTTGGCTCATTTTCAGACAGTCATAGTTTAATTGATTGAAATTAATTTTGGGCTAGTCCAAAGCCCAGGTCCTTTGCATGCGCTCTCCTGGCGGATCCGTTCCGAATCTGGAGAAAAGATGGCACCATCAAAGAAGAACAAAGCTGCGACAAGATGGGTTTGCACATATTTTGCACAACCTTTCCTTGGCCATCACACTTGCAAACCAGTCACTGCAAAATTGATCAAAATGCAAAATTGATTCGAATTCCATGGCTGAACATCACTGAAGGATACCGAAGGATCGTTGAATTCAATAGAGAGTCCGGCCCATCCCCCTAATATTAAACACCCCTTCAATGGTCCAAAATATATGTAATTTCCTTTCCAAACCAAGGTTTCTGGGTGAGGAAGACCAAAGGTACCTGACATACCTTGGCTGGGCCCCATCTCACAGCCTCCCAGTATCAGCGGCTTTTGGATTCAAGAAGTTCTACGACGGCAGTGCGGTGACTCTTCTTCGCCAAGTCCAGTGCAGTTTTGCCTGCAACGAATTCAGCACAACATCTTTTTGAATCTGTGGATGATGCAAGGGATGGACCTATTTTACCTGACTTTCCGTTAATCAAACATTTGTAGCGGAAAATCTCCCATTTATAGATCATTTTCACATTCAAAGCTTTGGGATTTCCAGCCTTGAGCTCAGGGTATTCCCCAGGTCAGATTGCCGAATAGCAGCAACCCCCAAAACAGATGGTGAAAACATCTTTTTAGGATGGTCCTTCATATTTCCTGTTTTCGAACTTTTCGATGTCTTTTTGGAGGCGAAAAAGCGTTGAATTGCGTCACATCGGAGATATCCTGCTGCCCAGTTGTGATTCTACCCAAAAAGGTCAACAAAACAGTAGGTTTGGCTTGCGAAAGAGGCACGTTGACAACAGTTCTTGACGAAGTCCATGGATGTCCACGATGAATTAGAACATATGGTCATGACTGGTTGGTCGTGCAGCAAACTACCCTCACTTATAGCCTCAGAAATTGGCATACCACCATGTTGGTTTCATCCCCAATTTGGAAAAAATGGCACTCTACTGTCGCAGTTTCATTCCCACATTTCTTGATTCAAATCCACTTTCAATATCATCCTGCCGAACAGAATTTGATTTTACATAATCAAAACGTTTGTTTATCCCATACAAAATATCAGAAGGTACATTGGATTTGCTCACAAAAACCAAAATGCTCAATAGCTTCCCCCAAAGGCCCAGCGGTGGATTTGCCAACACAAAAAATCACCTTCGGCAGATCTAAGGTACCCTTGGTTTCCCGGGTTTCCCGTTCAATGATCTGTCTGGTGGATTTTTCACATGGCAATGTTTTCTAGAGGCTGCTCCCATGTTTCTACCAGCCTTCGCGGTCTAGCACTGTGTGGTCTGCTTTCTTCTCCTAGTCTTGGGAACCCTGAGGTTTTTACATGTTCTTTAGATGTTCAAGGATATGAACTGTGGTTTGGCTGGGAACTGGGAACCGTCACTTGAATCTTTCAGAAGTGGATGGCAGCACTGTTTGAGGATGGATCGAAGTTGGTGGGCTTGAGAAACTACAGTGATTCGTTTTAGTTGTGAGAGAAACCATCCAATTCTCCAACTCCCCGAGCAACCGCAATCAATAGAAATGTGGGAAACCACCATCTTTGCCATGTTGGTTTTCGACTTCCAGGCTGCCCTTTGGAATAACGAACTACCCTGGATCAATGAAAATTAACTCCATTTTGAAGCTGGTCAGCCATTTCAGCCGTCATTTCCCTCCAACATCACAGCATGACATCATTTTCCTATTGGATACAAGTATGGATGCACATAGAAAAGCACAGATGTACATCAACATCATATATCATAAAATTATATATATATATATATATTATACATATTATATATATATATAGATATTATATACACACACTACAGATAAAAACATGTACACGAGTTCGGTGCTATGTGCTACTGTGTAATACATGATGACATGCCTTCTAGAAAACACTAACCACGACCAAGGCTCCAGGAGTAAGGTCACCATCTGCAGATGCCCGCAGTCCGCAGCAAAATGTAACGGAGTCTCACCTTGGGGCCGTGTGTCGATATCCCCTGACTATCGCAACCCCCCCAAAAAAATGCCGAAAAGCGGAACACCTGGAAATATGTCTGTCAAATATATCATCGAACCACCTGGTTTTACATTTTTCCACATCTTTTTTGGGATGGTTATACTCTATGTTGTGATGTTCAGGGATGTTTATCTACCAACTTTGAGGATATTTAGCATGACCTCATATTAAACACCCCATTCTGTTGTCCCAAATATGTATTTATTTTATCCCCTGCTAAACCATTGTTTCTGGGTAGTGTTTAGGTGAATGGGGGAAGGGATTGTATATACTCTCGTGAAAAAAAACTTGTTGCAAAAAAAAATGCAATACGTTAGTTTTCGTTTTTTTCGTTGAACAGCGCTAACATAGCAGAGCTGATTTATGCTATGTTAATGAGTCGGTGCCACAGCTGATTTAAGCTTTGAAAATTTTCACGGGTGTAAATTAAACTATATTATATCCTCCAGTAAACGTTTCCATAGCAAAATCCACGGTGGCTTCCCTTGGAAACGATCTACTTTCATGGCGGATTCTCGAAATCTAAGTTAGTTTACTGCAGGGTGGATATCCACTAATGTTGGATCTTGATGAGTGTACGGGGGACCCCCCCACACATGTGAAAGGGTCTCTTAGGGTGGTAACTTTAGGTACCTTTTCAGGGACTGGGGTTTGAACAATTGTGGATCACGATCTCAAGTGCAGATTTCAATTGATTTCAACTTACTATACTTATTTTCAATGGATTTCAAATGAATTTCAATTGACTTTCAACTGGTTTCAACTGATTTTTAAGTGATTTTCGTTTTAAACCTTCAAGAAATCAATTAAGAATAAATTATTTCAACTGATTTCAATTTACGTTCAAATATGTTCAATTGATTTTCCCTTTGAAACCTTCAAGACATCAGCTGAAAAGAACAGATTTCAATTGACTTTCAAATGGTTTTCCTTTTGAAACCTTCAAGAAATCAATTGAAAAGAAATGATTTCAACTGATTTCAATTTGCTTTCAACTGATGTTCCTTTGAAGCCTTCAAGAAATCAATTGACAAGAAAGGATTTCAACTGATTTCAATGACTTACCTAAATCTAAGTAAGGACTTTATTCCTTCAGCACCCAATTTCTCGCCTGAATGATGCAGCTTGTGTCCTGCTGGCTAGGAAGTATGAAGGGCCGACCAGCGGCACATTTGGATCCATGCTTCCCAAGCCCAGGACCTCATCCTCAATCTGTGCACTGGTGCCATAAGGCATATACCTAGAGATCTGAAAATGTGGCCACCACTGCCTACTACAGGCCTTGCAGGTCGTCTCCCACCAGGTAGCATGGCACCGACTACACCACATGCAAAGAGAAAGGTCAGACGCGGCATTTCCAGCCCATGTGCTTCCACCAAAGTTGGGCACAAATCCTTCCACCCAATCCCCTTGTGCTGCCACAGGCAGGGAAGTCAGGATTACAGTAAAAGCCATGCCAAGGATTACCACAAGGATGTGGTATGTACCTCCAAGGCAAGGCTACTTAGGCAATTAGGGCTTTCCACCTCTGAGCTGCGCTTGCACATGCGGGCTTTCTGTGTGGTCAAGTTGCACAGTTGGTGCCAAGGCACCATGGGTTTGATGGGAACATATGGCAATCAGAATGCTTGGTGGCCAGTAAAATTAAAACATAAGACATCATAAGACCATGCCATCGGCACTGTTCGCTTCTTCCAAGGCTTGTGCTCCTTCATGTGTGCGTTGTAATCCTACAAGGGTATGTGGCCAGATGAGTTTGCCAAAAGCACAGAAGCTACAGCAGTGGTGTGCGCAGCCTTGCTCTGTGCCTTCTCAAGGTGTTCCTTGGCCTTTTTTGCTTTAATCTTCCTTTCTTTTTTGGTGCCGCTTGGGTGGTGCCAGTGCTTTGGCAGGTACCACACCAAACTGCCCAGCAGCACCACAAAAAGATGGCAGCTGCAATCCAGCAAGAATATGATGGCGGTGGCGATCCAGCCTCTTCTTTAATGACATCATCCCGGCTTCATCCTCTGGGCCACCTTTCTCACACCTTGCCACGCCACCTTGGCATGCATGCGCGTGCTTGCAAGAACACAGAACTGGTTCTTCCAAACTTGCATTGGTGCAGCAAGCAAAATTTGTGAAAACAACCATTGGTCATGGCAACGCGAGCCTCTTCTACAATGGCTTCATCTCCTTGGCAACCTTTCTCACACACTAGCACCTTGGCAGCTATGCTGAAACATTGCAAAACATGTGCAAATGCCATGCCGCACGTGCTTGTTGCTTGGGCTTGGGCCAGTGACACTGCACCCTACCAGTCAGGAATCCAGAATTGCAGTTGGAAACTTTGCCAGTACTGGGAAGTTGGAACCTACAACAAACATACCCCCTTGATAAATGGTGTGGGTGCTGTTTTTTTGACGAGGTTTTGATAAGGAACTTGTTATTTATCTTTTTTTTTATTATGCAACCTAAAACAGCAAATATTTTCAAACACATGTTGCAACATGAAATTCCTGAAAAACAATTTGAAAAAATAATCTGAAAAAAAGAAACATGCTGAACAAACATTGCATCAGAAATTGAACAAAAACCAACCCACCCCCATCAATTCACAGGCCTAGAATTCTTGTCAAAAACCTGACACAATACCAAACCATCACACTAATCGGGATCCAACATTATTGCATAATGCTATACACATCTATGCACAATAATCAAATGTTTGTAATGAGAACATGGGAGTGTAGTAGTGCGCCTGTTCCCGTCGAAGAATGCTTTGTTAAAATCCTGCAGTGGCACTTGCTTGCACCTTACATCACCTCAAGTTTCATAATCCCAAGGCAATACACACCACCATGCGCATCCTCAACGCACACCCGATAATACAAAAAAAAACATACCAACAAATGCTTGGAGAGTCATTGCCGTCAGAAGAGGGAACCCCAAAAGATTCACATAAGTCTGGCCTTGTGGAAAAGAATTGGCTTTATGCAAAATATAAGCTACCAGTTGCCAGCTTCTGTCTTCCAACCTCTGTTTGACAGGATCTACGATGATACCCCCTACCCCAAACATCAATATGGCGTTGCGTTGATCATGTTTAGTTGAAAATCAACTCACATAGACTCAGCCTTAGATTCAAGTCAAAGCACATTGATCTCATGTTCAACCAACAGTCTTTGATTTTCTAACAGCATAACACTCTTTGATTTTGTCAGTTTCTTCAATTTCTACGAGGATCTCTCAAAGCATGCTAAAACATCAAAGCATTTTGATATCTTCCAGCAAGTGTAGAAAATTGTTGTTTTATTGAAAATGAGCAAATGTGGGAAACCCACATTTATATATATATATATACACACTTGTCATTTGGGGATGGTTTACAGCACACAAACATGGTGATTTTGATGTGACTATTATTGGGTTTACCGCATTAATCAAATAAAGGATAGTTTCTTGAGACACTGGAACTATAGAAAAATCGACTATGTGTAGAACCCCTCAACCAGAGAAATTGGAATGGCAACTAATGTGGCTAAAACAATCATAACCACCTATTTGGGGGATGGTAAACATGGCATTGTTTTACCTACATTATAGAAAACCTCCAGCAACCCAAAAATCCTCGTCTTCAACCTCCTGAGCCCTGCTACCAAAACCCTCATCCTTCATCTCCAGATCCGCTCCGCGATCCAACAACAAACCTCGGCGAAAGGTGGTTACGCGGACGGAGATGGTGAAATCACCGACAACCAGGGGACTAAATAATGACATATGGCATACATATATGTATGTAGATATGTGGGATTTAGGAAAATAGGATATGTATGTGTATGTATATATATACAGTATATAATGGTATGTATGTATGTATGTCTGTCTGTATGTATGTATGTATGTATGCATGTATGCATGTATGCATGTATGCATGCATGCATGCATGTATGCATGTATGCATGTATGCATGTATGCATGTATGCATGTATGCATGTATGCATGTATGCATGCATGCATGCATGTATGTATGTGTATACATATATATATACAATATATAATGGGATGTATGTATGTATGTATGCATGCATGCATGCATGTATGTATGTATGTGTGTCTGTATATATATACAATATATAATGGGATGTATGTATGTATGTATGCATGCATGCATGCATGTATGTATGTATGTGTGTCTGTATATATATATATATATATGATATGTATATATGATATATATATATATGTATATATCAAATGTATATATACATATCTCATATGTCTATATATATAGATCATATGTATGTATCTATATATATATACATATTATATACACATATTATCCTATACATATGTTATATAATTTAGTGTATATGTGTACGTATATACATTTATACACAAAACATGTGAAATCACCAACAATCATCATCAATGCCCATGAAGGAAACACGAACGGACATTTGGGCTTTGCCTAAAAATGTCGATCAACATGTTTTTCATGCAGAACACGATTTGATTTGGACATACCCATATCATCTCATATATATATATATAATCTATTATAATCTTGTTGGTTATATTCCATCTAGATTCCGTTGCATACCCATATGCAGGTCTTGTAGCCTCAAATCCACACTCTGTGGACAAGCCCAATAGGTCCATTAAAAAAAAAAAACATATCAAACGCCCCATTAACCCCAAACAAGACCCATTGATGGTTGGTATGTGGTTGGTATATTATATACCAATATATACCAACCGTTAAATTTGTACATATATACTTGCTTGAATCAATCCTGTCCCAGTAAAATCTACTACTTGTTTACGATTATATCCCCCAGATATGGCTTATATCCCCATGAATTCCAAACCTATCAAAAAGCTGACATCGAATGACCATTATTTACCCCATCAAAACACAATATATTATGGTATATTCTGCGCGCATGCTGGATGCTCCCAACAACTTTCATGTCGTTGGGAAACTCCTAGTAGCTCCTTGGCTCCCCAGGTCATAGAATTCGCATACTGATAGCTCCTTAGCTCCCTCCATTCACCACTGGATAGTTAGAATTTAAATCGTAGGTGGATGTCAATTTCCATAGGAAAATGGTGATTACCTTTCATGTAGTTGGGACACTTCCATTGAATCTTATTAAAACCATGATTAAATATCCCTTAAATCCCACGGGCCCATTACTTACACTTTTGTTTACCATCTGGTAAACTAACAGTTTGCTCTGGAAATCGCCAGTGTTTAATCGGTGAATCATCGAACTCATGCCATGGCTGCCAGGCTACATGCGACTTCAGCATCTCCCTGCAGAGCTGCTTGGTGCAATGGAGTCGTACCTGGGGATGTCATGGAGGTACCATCTGGTTATGACTAACAGTTCGCTATGGAAAATCCACCCATTTTAAGTCTGGTAAACCATCTATTTCGATTAGGGCCATGGCTTAACCATGGCAAACTGTTAGTCATAACCAGAGGGTATATTCCCAACTATATCCCATTAGATCCCATTAATTCCCATTAAGTCACCATAAAACACCATTAGTTTACCAGGGATAGTCATAACCAGGCCGGTAAGTCGGATTTTCACCGTGAACTTGTCGCTGGCCCATCCACAGATTCTATGACTGGGGATGGGATGGGATTAGTAAACACCGATTGAAACCAGCCATCTATTGGTAATATCGGGGATGATTCACTATTGGATTTACATGGAATTACTACAATATATATATATATATCCATAATATATACATAATATGTACATAATATATACATAATATATACATAATATATACATATATATAAATATATATTTATACAGATATACGTAGGGTTTATAGGTTGGAATGGTTTAATGGGGTCGAATGGACCGACTGGGTGTGTCAATCACAATTTTAGTAAGGAAAATTGCGATTCACCATCTAATTTTGAGGATACCAAATTTTCAGATTAAGCCCTGTCTGAGCATAGGGAGGACCCAATATTGAATCCTCATCTCTCCCAATCTTAGGTACCCTGCATCCTTTTTTTGCAGCAATCAAAGTTAATGAAAGGATGAGACTACCAATCCAAGGATACCCAGAAAATTCTTCCATGGTTGGAAGTCGCTAGGCGTTCAAGGCTCCATCTCTGGAAGAGCCCGTCTTTCGACCACATTGAGACCCTTCACATAGAATTACTGGGTATATATCCGCTGGTTATCAAACATGGCTGACATGGCTTGCTGAAAAATCCATGGAACATCCCCACACTTCGATCATTTTCGCGAACTCAACGAATCCATCTAGTGCGGGAATCTCCCACAGTGCCACGTTTCATCAGCATATCTGGATTCTGATTATCCCTATATCCCCAATTATATCCCTGGTTGGTGGGAAAAACCTACCCCTCTGAAAAATGATGGAGTGAGTTCGTCAGTTGGGATGATGAAATTCCATGAAATTCCCAATTTTTGTGGAAAGTCATTCAAAATTCCATGGTTCCAGTCACCACCAACCAGGTATCCATGAAAACCTTCATTAAATCTGCGGGGATTTCCCGGTCGCACCTTGAGAGTCCTTGGCGTTGATCTCGGCTCCTTTGTCCAGCAAGAAGCGTCCCGTCTCCGCGTGCGCGTAGGGTGCTGCACGGTGCAACGGGGTCTGACCTGGCGCTGCCATACGCTGCCCGGAGAAGCAATAGCGGTTTTTGGACGATCCAAGGTGCAACAAGTTGAAGGTTCCAAAATATGAATGGAATGGGTTATACGCCTTTAAGATCCTTTACTGGTTGGTGGTTGACCTACCCCTCTGAAAAATATGAGTGAAAGTCAGTTGGGATGATGAAATTCCCAATACATGGAAAAAACACATGTTCCAGACCACCACCCAGCGTTAAGTAGGTTGTATTGTTTTTGGTCAATGATTATCAATTATCATATACCGTAATGAGATAAGTAATGAGTATACTACCATGGTAGAGCCAAAAGATTGGCTTTACCGCATAATAACAAAAACCGTGTCCCATCCATGGGTAAATAAGTCAACCATTCATGCAGCAAAATATAGCAGCACCATGGTTGATGTGTGTGTGTGTGGATTTTCAGATTTTTCAATCTCTTCCAACTCTTGCAATGATCATTGCCAATCTTAGATACCCTGCAAAAAATGACAAATTCTTTGCTGGTGAATGTAGATATTCCCATTGATACCAAAAGACTAGTTAGGATTAATGTATCCATCTAAGATTGACCTAGTGATCTGGGTGCAAAGATCAAGCTTCACCCATCCCCCCTTAGAAGCCCTAGTCTTGTAGTCGTCACTTCGAGCCCAGACCCTCCGAGAAGCTGGACCTTGACAGTCTTTGGCCTCGCAGGGTCTGCTGTTAAGTGGGATTTGAGAAATCATAGGATTGGTTTAAGGGAAAATCTGCATAAGACCATAATCTTTGCCATGTAAAGTTTCCTGTAAATCTTCTCTAAAGCCAAGTCTGAGAAGAAAAGCAATGAGACTTTTTTTCTACAGTACTTTGGTAAATCTGCGGATCCCGAAGTCGACTTCCTTGGAACTTCACCACGATCATACAGGACGTCTACCGCGGCAATACACGAGGAAGGGGATATGACAATGAACCCAGTGAAGACGATGGCTACTATACTACAGTATAAATAACATGTTTCTAATTCTCAAGCACCAAGGGTTTTGGGCATTGCTCATGTAGGTATGTCTCAACATTGGGTAGCCAAGAACCTTACATTTTGCCCATCAAACAGGTGTTTTCGTTGAGACAAAGCGATGTGGTGTCCAGTGAAATGTTTGTTGGTTTACAACTCCAACAACTCCACCATTATATTCATATATGTATACATGCATATACATGGGTAAATTCTGATATTTCATTAACCTGAATAGTTCGGCCTTTTGGGGATGATTTACCCAGATAATATATATATATGATATTAATATCTGATATGATATCAATATCATCTACACAAAGCGTAGGGGTCACCTAAGTTCCCCGCCTCCCCCGGCCTTCACGTCCGCGCCGCTGTCCAGCAGCAAACGAACCACCTCTGCCTGGTCGTTGGAGGCTGCCACGTGGAGCGGGGTCCCACCTGAGGCAGGGCCCCAAGGGCTGCGACTGATGACTGGAATTCAGAAAGGTATCCTTCATTTTTGGTAAGCACGTGTTTTGTATTGTTTTATCATAGTACATTATAGTTTGATCTAGATGTTTGATTCCCAGCAAGATGTGAACCTCCGAAGAAAACATCCAAATCAATCATCCTGCAGCTCTGTGCTGCTTCATCATGTATGGAGCTGAGCGCCCTGGGGGCCCCAGGCATTCGTTGTCATCCTTTGCCTCGATATTGGCACCTCTCTGCGGCAGCCAGGAGCATTCGATGTGGCCACTGATGTGGCTGATGTGGCTGATGGACTGGTGGTTGAGCCCTACCCCTCTGAAAAATGATGGAGTGAGTTCGTCAGTTGGGATGATGACATTCCCAATTTTTGTGGAAATCCCCATTAATCCCCATTAATCCACATTAATCACCATTAATCACCATTAATCGCCATTAATCACAATTAATCACCATTAATCGCCATGTTCCAAACCACCAACCAGTGGAGCAATGGCGATGTTGCCACCGCAAATTTGATCCGTTGGGATCAGTGGCAACATCCCCAGCTAGAACACCACAGGGACTGGTTGAATGATTGGATTGGTTTAATGGAAGATAAAACATGGAAAACCACGGGAAAGCCTCATATTTCAAGGGAAAATCATGGGAAAACTGGAAAAACCCTCGGTTTCCAGTTTCGATTCTCCCCTGAAACCAACCCAATGATTGAATAATATTTTTGAACGGGCTACAGCGGCTACAGTATATTATATGTACATAGAATTGCAGGGAGGTACCATGATTGATACCATCATCCACCATCATTCATGCTATGATCCACCATCATTGTGCATATTTGTATATGTAATATCTACCATCATTCTCCAATCCACATCTTAAATAAATAAATGTATATATATATATATATGCAAGTAAAATCTATATCGTATATAATTATATAATATATAGTAGATCATAGTCACTTTCTACCATCCGTTCACCAATCCCTATCCTCCCTACCTAACATTGCGCCACTTCCTCGCCCGCCTCGATCCAACATCAGTTTCACCAGTTGCACGTGACCCTTGGATGCTGCGTAGTGAAGGGCAGTGCCACCTGCGGCAACGGCCTTGGGAAAATTGGGGAAATGTCCCAGTTTGATCCATTTTCTCTGGCTCATTTCATGGGATTTCGATATTTATGGATATTTAAAGGGATTTATAGGGATTTAGCAATCATCTAATTGATGAATTATAGTAATTCACGAACCCGAAAAATGACTGCAATGTTCGGCCAGCTATGGGGATAGTTACACCATAGTCGATTGCCATTATTCCAGAGATGTCACGACGAGGTCTACCCCTGGTGGGATGGGGATTTGGATTTGATAAAAAAGGCTTCCTGGTGGGTGAGTTTCACCCTCTCCCCAGGAGATGTTTAATTCATAAAAGGGATTTCATCCCACAACCCAAAAGTTGTTACTTTCCCAATATCTTGATCAACCAGACTTGTTTGCCTCCACTCAACGGACATTTTCTTGGGTGTACATCTACAGCAAAAAGGATATTTCACTGGCAAACACCATGATTTACAATGACCCTCCGGTGTTCTAACCTGGCAATGCGAAATACCAATGATGGCCAATCTTGGATACCCTGCCACAAATGACAGATTCTTAGCTGGTGAGTTAGTAGATAATCCATGATAATCCCATTGATTCCAAAGGACTATTTTGGAATAGTTTCTACTCATCCAGTTGGTTGACCTAGCAATGTTTAATATCGTGACTACTAGGAATCTCATCTCTTCATGGCCAGCTTCAAGGGGTAGCTTCGGCTCCCAGGGTGAAATCTGTAGGCTCCTCCTCTGATTTTCTCGAGATGGAGCAACTTTGAACATGTACTGAAAACAGACATATATATAGATAATATATATATATATAAATATACACATATATATTCCAAACAACCCGACATGATATAGTTATTCTATGTTATTCCTGTTTCATGTTTTCACCTAAACATTTGAAAGATTGGTCAGAATATACCAGAATTCCAGAGCCTTCTCGATCCGTGGACTCTGTCTTCGCACCACCTTGGCGTGCCACGAATCAAGGCCAGTTTTGACCAGTTTTGGCACATCTCCATGTGGAGATCAAACTGGTCAATGTTTTCTTGGCAAAAAACAAGAGAAACCATATATAGTTTCTTCTCAAACAAGAACATGCTGTTTCCTGGAACTCTTCCCTTCAAATTCTCGGAATGGAGATTTAAGGATGAGACCCGTATGAAGATTCTCTCTTCACGCTGGAACCACAGCCGTTCAAACCCGAGCTTTTGCGGCAAAGCTCCCCACTCTCTATGTGGTTCTTCCACCGCGCGGGATACAATTTGTACAGCACAACCCAACAATATTGTACTAATCTTGTCAACCAATACTATAGGTTTTTTCGGAAACAATCAAATACGATCAACCATCACTGACAATTGCTTTGATAGGATATCGGTATAGGATACCATCAAATATCATCAACCATTGGACCATTGAGGATTACTAAGCAGTACTAACATACTGTGGTTGTTAAGATATCATCAACATTACGAACCTTTAACCATTACTATCCATTACTAACCAGTACTCAACCATTGAGGATTGATTATTAATCATACTATCGCCATTGCCAGTAAATTAACATAGACCCTCCCAGTCATCGGGGCTGGAAGACTAGTGAAAGCCACTATAAATTGGTCATTTTCAGGGTCTATGTTAATCTTACTGGTGCTTAGTAGGGAATTTTCGGGAATGATCCATAATAACTATCAATAATCATCCCATTCCCCCATTCCCATTCATTCCCTGCGTTTAGCACCAGTAAGTAATATAAAACTCCATGTTAAGTTGACATCATCATTCCTCAGACCATCGAAGAGAATGGGATTCGTGGATTCGTGGATTCTGTGAACCATTCCCGAAGCGGAAGATGCAGGATGTACATGTAGATGATGAATGTGTATCTATATAATACCCTCTGGTAAACTAACATAGCTATTGAAAATGGCCATTGTAATAGTTGATTTACCCATGATAGCTATGGTGATTTTCCATAGTTATGTTAGTTTACCAGAGGGTATTGTATATCATATCAAAAAGTACAGAAGAGTGTATTGGACAACTGAATATGCTCCGAAAATTGTACCATCTGGTTATTTAACATAGCCATGGAAAATCCCTTTTAAATGGAGGTTTGATTGGCGAAATCATCTATAAATGATGGGCCATTTTTCATGGCTATGTTAAATCATCGGCTCGGCACTTGGCAGCCCTACAATCCAAGAGGAACTTCACCACGTCCATGTGGCCGTTGTCGGCTGCAATGAGCAAAGGACACTTTCCTGCGGAGCTCCGCCGCCGAAACAATCCGAAACGTCACACTCCAATCAACGTCAACGATTGCAAGTCATATAGCACTGATAAAGTAGGATTTGCTGTTCGGTCCTAACCTCATGAAGAGATATATGATGTGTAACGTGAAGTGGAAGTTGCAATCTCATGCAGCAAAGTTGTGAAGCATACCACTTTTCACACATTTCCCTCAAACTCCAGGAATTAATTCTCGGTCATCTCACCCGGAATGGCTGAGAAGTCCACATGGCTCATGGCAATTCGTGGCCAGAGATTGGATGGATCAATCATCATCTAGTTGGTGGTATACCTACCCCTGTGAAAAATATGAGTGAAAGTCAGTTGGGATGATGAATTCCCAACTGAATGGAAAAATAAAATTCATGTTCCAAACCACCAACCAGATCATCAATCTCTGATGAATGCCATGATGGGATGCAATGTCCAGCACTGCAACCGAGGACTTTGGAAGTCCATCCCGCCAACATCCTACTTAGAAGGTGACAACATCTTAGAACTGTTCTAACCCTACTTACTATATATAATACATAATAATATATATATATATAATACATAATAATATATATATATAACTATATTAATATATATATACAATAAAATATATATATACAATAATATATATATAGTGATATATATATATATAAATAATATATAATAATATATATATATGTTTTATCTAATATATATAATATAACATATATATAATATAACATATATATATAATATAATATGTATAATAATATATATCCATCATTATCCATCTATATCCGGTCATTCAGGGGGTGATCCTGCAAGCAGTTTCCGCATGATTTACTGTATGCTGTTACTAGGCTTATCCTCATTTCATACCCTCTGGTGTTTAACAACACAGCTAAAATCAACAATTGACCATGACATTGTATGAATCAGCGACAACAAAATGGTGATTTTCTATAGCTATAGTTAAAATTAGTTTTTTATTACCTCAGAGTATGCCATACCCCCCCATCTCCCCCATTGTCCTGATGCATCGCTTTCCTCAACGGTGCTGCCCTTCTTCCAGAAGTGTCGCACCTGAGCCACGCAGAAAAAATGGAAGAGGAAAGTCCTAAGAAATTGCTATATAACTTATGTACAACCATTTCAATGGTAGAAAACTGTGGTTTAATATGGTTTATATAATGGGGGTTGATGGGATTTGATAAGGCTTAATGGACCTACATGGACTTTACGGACTTAGCTACACAAATCTCTGGAATTGATGGTGTTTAATGGACTTACATGGGGTTTCATTGACCTATATACTAATATACTGGCTGTGTCTGTAAATTGGGTATTTTCTCCATTTATGGCATATCTATATTGCGAAAATGATGACAAAAACCAGTGGATGGTACCTTGGGTACCCCTATTCTGAAGGACAAACCCTCTGGAAAAATTCCATCCCCAGATCATCATAAATACTAATAAATACCCGAAATTTGTTGGGACCTTTAATATACTACAGGGAAGGGATCCATGTATAAACAATTGAATCGTGGATAATCTTATTTCTTGGGGTTCTGCTGTTTTTTTTACACACCATTTTTTGCTTGATCTCCGATGTTTCTGTTTCGGTCGTGGCTGGGTCGTGAAACAGCCATGTTTTTGAGGCATCCATCTGCCACAGCCCCAAGTGGCAGAAACCCAATCTAGGCACTGCTTTCAAATTGCCGGCTTTGGCTGCTTCCCACAAGGTGCCGCCTCAACCCGAGCGAGCGATTGGCTGTGGGGTAACCAACCCATCTACCCCTGGTGAACGCCATTTCATAGCTGGTAAATGGGGGGTTCATTCCCGCCAAAAAATATGGTATAATAGGTATTGATACATCCTAAATAGCTATGGTTACATCTATATACATCCATATATTGCATGTTTCATTATAGTCCTATTCAATTTACCCTGAGATTCTGGCATTTCTCAGCCTCTGCTGCTTCAGCAAGCTCTTTCTCCTACCGGATGGGAACCAACAGGCCAACAGGGGACGTTGGATTTGATGGGCATTGGATTCAACATGTTGGTAGATGTGTAAAGTGTAAAGGCAAAACCAGGCAGGAAACACCAGTTCTCAACATGGCAGTGTGTCAAAACCTTGTACCCCTGGTGAACACCAAAATAGCTGGGTTAAAATGGATGTGAATAACCCCCTAAAAATGGTATTTTTATAGGTATTGATCCATACCCACATCAAGATCATTGAAGATGCACATTGCAATGGTCAAGCTGCAATTGAAAACTCCAGATGACTCCAGGTTGAGATCTGTGGTAGGTGCTAGGCAAAGAGCAAACATCACCAACACCTAGGAGACGTTACCTGTACCAAACAGCGTGGTGATACAACCATCAGACATGTGTGTATATGTTGCCAACTTTTAGTATATTTCCAAAACTGGAACCCCGCGTCTACCATTCATGGACTGCTTGAATACGCTTGAAACGTGGAAACTCAATAGCTACTGAATCATATTTCGATCTTTAGGCAAACCCAGATCAAATCAAATTTGGCTGCCTCCTGCTTCTTTGCTTCGTCTTGAGCAACTGGCACCTGTCACACAGCAGTTGGAGGGACTTGGAGGGACCCAACTGCACCCTGCCGTTGTGTGGTTGCTGTCTCCAATGGAACCATCAACAGCGGATCCCAAAAAAAACAAGTGTGAGGATGTCCGCTTGTCCTTCCACTCTTCCATCCATTGCAGGTTCCTTATATCTAAATCACCACGAATAAACCCCCCATAACAGATATGACAGTTGCCCCATACTCAAGTCTTGACATCGCTACAAAATTCCCAATTCGAAGTGAACAAATGGCCAGCAAACACCTTCTTAGATCCTTTTCAGATCTTTATATTAAAACCGTATTTCCCCGCTTACCACGTCATTGTTTTTTTTCAAAATTCCGCCTGTAACTTAAAAAACACGTGGGATCAGAAATGACTTGGCCATTGTTGATAGCTCATGACTTTCGGCAAATCATGCGATATATTTTCCAGACCTGAAACATTAGCCCGGTGTGTCTGGCAATAAAGAATAATTACCCGCAAAATCGATCAGTTTGAATCAATTTCAATCACAAAAAAACACAAAAAACATCATGATACATCCATATGAATTTCATATCAAATTCATATCAAATCACATTATCATCTAGTTATTTAAGGGTTTGCCATGGAAAGATCCACCCATTTTTAAGAACGGCAAACCATCTATTTCTATGGGCCATCTATACCATGGCAAACCGTTAGTCATAACCAGAGGGTAAATCACATTGTAGCGCCGAAGGATTCCACCGGGATGTCTTGGCTCTCCATGAATCCACCATGAATCCACCGGGAGTGCCTGAACCGTGGCAACCGTGGCCGGAACCGTGGCCGGAACCGTGGCCGGAACCGTGGCCGGAACCGTGGCCGGAACCGGAAGCGCTGCCGCAAGCTGGGCCTGGGATGGCTTGTCATTGGCGGCAAACCAGGTGTACCATATAAAATAAATACGTATCGCATGTTCACTGAATATGAACTTCAGAAACTCTGAAAATTGATGTGTTAATCATATTTAAACAGCTTTACTACATTGACAGTTACTGAATATGTGTTTAGTTAATCATGTTCAATCCTAACTTTCTGGCTGAGTCCTTTTTGTTAGCAATGATTGTTTGAGAAAGGGTACATAAACTTAAACGATGGTCATTGCCCATCTGGTATCAACACTTTTTATCAAGGTGGTGCTTGGAAAGTCTCGAATGCCATCCAGCATTCCTACCTCCTTCATGTGGGTGTAGTTCAAAACCCTGCAACTCTTCTGTTCACACCGAAACAGCTGCTAAAATTCTTGGACTTTCTTAAGGCCCCCACAAAAAAACAAATCCCATGCTGAGGAATTGGGAGAACCGACACAAATCCAGAAAAACAATAACCACATGATTTCACATAATCAAAGAAGCCAAGAAATAACAAGAACTCCCAGAATTCGCTGCGAGTTATCGGGGCATGACCCAAAACCCATCGATCCTGTGGAGCTGGAGTCGTTGCCGCAACCGCAGGGACACTCGTGGCTTTGGCCTGATAAAAATCATGGTGGTCAACCCATATATATATATATATATGTATATGTCAATATATATATATATGATATTCCCAAAATTCAACGACGATCTCCAAGTCATCACCATTTTGAATGCGTGTTTTTGTGTCATTTTTTCACCCTCAAGTGCTACGTTTATGGGATCGGGTTGCCCACAATCAAAAATCAACCGAATTTTGTGGTCTGAAAAAAAAAGTGACTAAGTAACCCAACAACGCAAGCAGAATAAATTTCAACATGATTTAACCTATCGACATAGGGATCCAACCAAGAAGTAATGTGTTCGCCCTAAAACAGGGCACACCCCTACATTTGCATTCTCAATGAATATATTATATTATCTGATGCACACTTGGGATTTTGGATAAGCCATGATAAGCCCCAGTGTGTTTGCCCAACGGGCTTGAAATACCCATGAATCAAAACTCTGGTAGCCTTCTGTTCATGCACCCCCATTCTCATGGCAACTTAGGAAATTGTTGCATAGGGTACAGTAACTAGCAAAACACCCATGGCCAGGTCAAAGCCAGAAACGCTGCTCTATCCAACACCCACTGTGAGTGGCCGTTCTCCCTTCTGTACAAATGACTCATACATCATCTATGTTACCACATTGAACTGGTAACTACTCATGGTGCTCTAACTTGCTAGAAGCGATTGTGCTCCATATAGGAAAAACATGCAAAAACACTAACCCGGTCAACAGAACTGGCAGCAAGGCCTTCCCAAGGTCCAAAGAATCCCTTCTCCGGTGATGACGGTGGCCCAGAATCTGCCCGGAACCCCCTAAGGAATGCTGAGTCATGACATTCTGAACTTCGATTCGCGCCTGCGTTTGAACTACTGGCGCAGGGGCCGCCGCACTGGGATGCTTCGGTGCCGCCACCGGCGGCATGGCCTGGGTGCAAACCATGGTTGACATAGCAGCACCTGTGGTGCTAAGTGTCAACCTATGGGGATGCCCAAGTTTGTACCACATGACCATCCACGATGAACACATCATCCGAAAGATCCTCCAGTTTGCGTGGACCACCCTTGGAATGGCCTGGTTTTCACACCAAAATAGTCCGTATTTCTGAATGTTCATGCATGTTCATTCCGCGGTTCATTCATGGCAACCATAGTAGTCAAGACGACCCATCCCCATGGGAGTCGCGGAATCCATACCACTATCCCATCCCGTTAAATACTGTTTGGCTAATAGGTATTCTATGGTATTCCTATTCTGGATTAGTCCCAATAGATGAGCTAGTTAGACAACTCCCCATTTCTCCATTTCATCACCAATCAACCATGACAGGTATAGACAACGTTCACGGCTGTCGAAGGTCCTGCCTGGTACTGTGGCGGCATACTGTAATGTTGCGTGATGCTCCCGTCTGGATTCTTGACCATGACAGGTCTAGCAGGTCTAGCCTGCAGGATACAAGCGCTGGGTCTCGGGAGTGCGGTAACTGCCATAAGTAGTCTAGCACAGAACAGCGAAGGGGATTCTGATATATAATGATGTATGAACATGTTGATAATATGGCTCCTTAAATCTGAATACGAACATATTATATATATATGTTATGATCTATGATAATATATATAAAAAATATACACCACGAATGATCATGACATATCTGAAATTTGATGGTTTAAAATGATAGATGTCTTACAATCCATGATTTCTAGGCCAGAACACCTTGATGTTTCATGTCCAACAGTAGCTGGTAGGGTCCTACGGCCGGGTCACATTCATATTCGCTTCAATTGGACAGTGTATCCACTTGGGAACAGGCCAAATAATTTCAAATCCCTGAGCAGACTAGTCCATGTTGGGATGTTCGGAGATGTCTATCTACCCAACTTTGAGGATACTTTGACCATGTTTGACCTTGATATTAAACACCTCCATTCTATGGTCCCAAATATTGCGTGTCTGTCATTTTTTATCCCTTACTAAGCCATGGTTTCTGGGGGTGTTTGATATTTCTAATATGAAGAGGGGACAAAAAGATAGTCCTAACCCACAATGTCAACCCTGGACTAATAAACCCCAAGGCCAGGTACCATTTAAGTATCAAATTATCAGTATTTGAGGAGTATCCCCTAAAATGGCTAATTAATCCATAATGGCTAATTAATCCATAATGGCTAATTAATCCATAATGTGGTAAAGCCAATAATCATCCTTACCCCAAATCATCCAAAATCAACATTTTCATGGAATAAACCATCCCAACATGGTAGGTTTATCATGGGATTGCCCACATTAACATCCAACTCTCAGCTCCGCAGTCGCCTGATACGTCACGGGTGCCATCTGCGGTGCTTTCCCATAAGCCGTGGCAGGGAAGCCTCCAGTCACAGGTGCCATCTGCGGTGCCATCTGCGGCATCGCCGTGACCTTGGGCACCTGACAACTCTTGGGAGCGGCGGCCTTGCTCATGTCATGTGAATGGGATTCCTTTTGCATCCAATTAGATAAATAGATATAATCATATGATATAAAAAATATAATATATGATATACCAGTAGTACCGCACAAGGCGGTGGCGGAAGTTTCAGCATAGGAAACCTATAGGAGACGTTGGTTGTTGTGAATCACGGATGGCAGAGCGAATCCACTGATTGAACGAAAGGTGGTTGGAGTTGTGTTTGCTGGAGTGGTTGCAATGGTTGCAGTGGTCACCTCACCCACAACTGCTGGATGTAGTGTGATGTACTGCTAACTGTAGTTGTAGTTGTAGCGTAGTGGAGTTGTAGTTGTGGTGTAATGTAATTAGTGTAGTGTAGTTGCAGTCATATAGTTGTAGTTGTAGTTGTTGTTGTTGTTGTTGTTGTTGTTGTGTAGTTGTAGTTGTAGTAGTTGTAGTTGTTGTTGTTGTTGTAGTTGTAGCTGTAGTTGTTGTGTAGTTGTAGTTGTAGTGTAGTGTAGTTGTAGTTGTTGTAGTTGTTGTTGTTGTTGTAGTTGTTGTTGTTGCTGTTGTTGTAGTTGCAGTTGTAGTTGCAGTTGTAGTTGTAGTTGTAGTTGTTGTTGTAGCTGTAGTTGTTATAGTTCTAGTTGTAGTTGTTGTGTAGTTGTAGTTGTGGTTGTAGTAGTTGTAGTAGTTGTTGTTGTTGCTGCTGTTGTTGTAGTTGTAGTTGTAGTTGTTGTAGTTGTAGCTGTAGTTGTTGTAGTTGTAGTTCTGGTTGTAGTTGTAGTTGTTGTGTAGTTGTAGTTGTAGTTTTTGTTTTTGTAGTTGTAGTTGTTGTTGTTGTTGTTGTTGTGGTTGTTGTTGTTGTTGTTGCTGTTGCTGTTGCTGTTGTCGTCGAAGTTAGGGTAGTTAAGTTAGTGAAGTTAGTTAAGTTAGTCAAGTTAGTTAAGTTAATCAGTGTCTACTGTTTCGACATCTTCACGTCAAAAAAGGCTCAAAACCCTCAGTTTTTTACACTTTTGACTTCGAAATGTGCTTCGCGCCACAACGGCGTGCACTTTTTCGACACTTTTTCGACATCTGAACCTCCAAAAGTGGTCCGAGACCGTCAGTTTTTTACACTTTTGACTTCGAAATGTGCTTCGCGCCACAACGGCGTGCACTTTTTCGACATCTCAACTTCCAAAAGTGGTCTGAGACCGTCAGTTTTTGACACTTTTGACTTCGAAATGTGCTTCGCGCCACAACGGCGTGCACTTTTTCGACATCTGAACTTCAAAAAGTGGTCCGAGAATGGTGTGTTTTGTACATTTTGACTTGGAAATGTGCTTCGCGCCACAACGGCGTGCAATTTTTCATCTCTCATCTGGCCAGCTGGCTCCGCACCCGCCGCTTTAGCGAAGCCTACTTTTCGACCCTCGGGAG